GCTTCATTTATTTCCACCATTTTATCTTCTACCTCACTTATCCTATCTTCTGTCTCTGTTATTCTACTCTTGGTTCCCTCCAGAGTGTTTTTGATCTCATTTATTGCATTATTCATTTTTAATTGACTCTTTTTTATTTCTTCTAGGTCTTTATTAAACATTTCTTGCATCTTTTCAATCTTTGTCTCCAGGCTATTTATCTGTAACTCCATTTTGTTTTCAAGATTTTGGATCATTTTGGATATTATTTGGATATTATTATTATTCTAAATTCTTTTTCAGGTAGATTCCCTATCTCCTCCTCTTTTGTTTGACTTGGTGGGCATTTTTCATGTTCCTTTACCTGTTGGGTATTTCTCTGCCTTTTCATCTTGTTTAGATTGCTGTGTCTGGAGTGGGCTTTCTGTATTCTGGGGTCTGTGGTTCCTTTTTATTGTGGAGGTTTTACCCAGTGGGTGGGGTTGGACGATTGGCTTGTCAAGGTTTCCTGGTTAGGGAAGCTTGCATCGGTGTTCTGGTGCGTGGAACTTGATTTCTTCTCTCTGGAGTGCAATGGAGTGCCCAGTAATGAGTTTTGAGATGGGTCTATGTGTTAGGTGTGACCTTGGGCAGCCTGTATGTTGACTTTCAGGGCTATGTTCCCGCGTTGCTGGAGAATTTGCGTGGTATGTCTTGCTCTAAAACTTATTGGCTCTTGGGTGGTGGTTGGTTTCAGTGTAGGTATGGAGGCTTTTGGACGGTCTCTTATTACTAAAAGTTCCATGTAGTCAGGAGTTTTCTGGTGTTCTCAGGTTTTGGGCTTAAGTCTCCTGCCTCTGGATTTCACTTTTATTCTTCCAGTAGTCTCAAGACTTCTCCAACTATACAGCACTGATAATAAAACTTCTAGGTTAATGGTGAAAAGATTCTCCACCGTGAGAGACAACCAGAGAGGTTCACAGAGTTACATGAAGAATAGGAGAGGGAGGAAGGAGATAGAGGTGAGCAGGAGGAGAAAAAGGGGACTCAAGAGGAGAGAGACAGATCTACACAGTTGTCTGTTCCCAGAGTGTTCTCTGTAGCCCAGACACCCACAAAGATTCACAGAATTGGATTGGGAAGAGAAGGGGAAAGGAGGAAATAGAGGTGTTCTGAGGTAGAAAATGGAGAGTCAAGATTGGGAGAGAATAATCAACACACTCCTGAATAAAAATGGGAACTGAATATTGGATTCTTAAATGTCCACAATTTCCTAGATGCCCATCAGCAGACGAATGGATAAGGAAGCTGTGGTACATATACACCATGGAATATTACTCAGCCATTAAGAAGAATTCATTTGAATCAGTTCTAATGAGATGGATGAAACTGGAGCCCATTATACAGAGTGAAGTAAGCCAGAAAGATAAAGACCATTACAGTATACTAACACATATATATGGAATTTAGAAAGATGGTAATGATAACCCTATATGCAAAACAGAAAAAGAGACACAGATGTACAGAACAGACTTTTGGACTCTGTGGGAGAAGGCAAGGGTGGGATGTTTCAAGAGAACAGCATCGAAACATGTATATTATCTAGGGTGAAACAGATCACCAGCCCAGGTGGGATGCATGAGACAAGTGCTTGGACCTGGTGCACTGGGAAGACCCAGAGGGATCGGGCGGAGAGGGAGGTGGGAGGGGGGATCGGGATGGGGAATATATGTAAAACCATGGCTGATTCTTGTCAATGTATGACAAAAACCACTACAATATTGTAAAGTAATTAGCCTCCAACTAATAAAAAAAAAAAAGTCCACAATTTATATCATATACTGAAAAACAAAGATTAAAAATCTAGAGTAGAGGTTATACTCTTAAAAATACTATATTAAAAACAAAAACCAAAACACACACAAAAAATTTTAGAAATATATATGAAGTTCGGTTTAAAAATAGGGCTTCTCTCTCTCTTTTTTTTTTTGTAAGGTTATAGTGTAATGAAAATGAAAATTAAGGAGTAGTAGAGAGTAATAGAGGACTTTAAAAGGAAATAAGAGAAAAAGAAAAATAGAAAATAGAAGATAAAAAGGAAAAAAAGAAAAAAAAACAGGAAAAAAAATTTTTCCTAACTAAAAAAATCGTAAAAATCTATGAAAATGAAAGTTAAGGAGTAATGGGGGAGTAATAGGGAATTTTAAAATAAAAGAGAAAAAAGAAAAAAGTTAAAAATATATCTAGGAATTTCTCTGGAGCTGTTGCGGTCAGTGTGGGCTGGGCTCAGTTTCAGATAGCTCCTCATTCCAGCTTACACTTCTTGATATCTACAGGCCCCTTCCGGTGTAGTCGGTGTTATCTACAGGGATTTTAATCTGTTGCACCGGTCCCTTCTGAAGCAGTTCCCTTTGTTTATTTGGCTTCTGTTTGCTGGTCTCTTCAGTGACTAATTTCTGCTCTGACACAGGCGGGCGGAGGTGGACTCTTATTCAGGTTGCTAGTTCCGTCGTGCTGCGGGGAGGGGCTGGCGCTGCTTTCCCCTCTATGCTGCTCAGGCTCCCGGCTGTTCTATATGGAGCATGCCCTGCACTGCACGCGGTTCCAGCCCTCCGGTGTTCCACAAAAGCGCGGAACAAAAAGCTGCGTCTGCTTTTTGTGCCCTCCCTGTCAGAGCGGCTCAGGCAGCCAGGAGCTTGACGGGCGCACTCTCCCCGGGTGCGGCGCGCCTTCTCCCCTCCGCGGTCCCAGCCCGTTTCCGCCCGCGCCGCGTGCGCCTTCTGCCCTCCGCGTCCCAGCCCCAGTCTCCGCCCGCGCGGTAGGGTGCCTGCGCCCTGTGTCTCGCCGCGACCCTCCCGGCGGATGTCAACCATCCAGAATCTCAGGAGGTCTTTGATTAGAAACTGGAGGCCTGTTTGCAGTGTGGTAGGGGATGTGGTGCTTGGGGCCAAGCCTGCCCCTTTCCCCTCCCCGCTGCCTCCTGCCTCTGGTAGGGCTGGGCCGGTCCGCAGCCTGCGAGCTCTTCTCTGGACCTGCTCGGTCCCTTTGTTCTGCGAACGGCCGGCAGTGTGTTCAGGGGGGTTAATTTTCTCTCTCTCTTTTGCTGTCCCACAGTTTAAGTTGGTAACTCCCAAAAGCTCCCTCTGATTGCCCTCAGGGCACTCAGGCCCAGTCCTTACCCTAAGCAACGCCGCCGGTGCCTCTCCGATCCGCCCCCACTTGCTGGTGGCGGATACTTTTCTGCTGGGAGTTGCTTTTAGGCACGTAATCTGTGGGTTTTATTTATTGTTCCCCTCCCAGTAAGGTTGTCCTCCGAGATTCAAAAACTTCCCCCAGACCCGCCAGTGCGAGGGTTTCCTGGTGTTTGGAAACTTCCTCTATTAAGACTCCCGTCCTTAGCTCTTTTGTCTCTTTTTATCTTTTATATTTTGTCCTACCTCCTTTCGAAGACAATGGGTTGCTTTTCTGGGCGCCTGATGACCTCAGCTAGCGATCAGAAGTTGTTTTGTGAAGTTTGCTCTGTGTTCAGTTATTTTTTTAATGAATTTGTAGGAGAGAAAGTGGTCTCCCCATCCTATTCCTCCGCCATCTTGGCTCCTCCCCCCCAGGGTGTGCTCTTTTAGGAATGACTAGTCACCCCACACACCTCGATTAGGAACAGTTCACTTCTACTGAGTGCTTACTACATGACAGGCAAAAGTCTTAGCATTTCATATCACCTGAAAATTTTCAACTGAAGGCTGGAGGAAATATTAATATTAGGCTCACTTTAATGATAAGGAAATCTAGCTATAGAAGAATTAAAAAGCTTACTCAAGGTTATATAGCTAGATAGCCGTGAAGTCAGAATTCAAGCCTGCATTCATAAATGCAATACTGCTGTGTGTACACTGCAGGGTGAAACACAAGGCAGGCTGGAACCAAATAGCAGAGGGTCTTCTGTGTCATCCCTAAGTTCTGCATTTCATAAATAAATTACTAAGGGAGGAGAAAATATTCCTATTTTTTTGTATATGAAATGAAAAGAAATAAAAAAGTTAAAGAATCCATTATTAGTGATAATTTGGAACAATTGATCATCTAGTGCTTTGCTGTTCAATATGGTAGCCTCCGGCTGCGTGTAGCTACTGAGCATTTGAATATGGCCAGTTTAAATTGAGATGTGCCATATGTATAAAATGAACACCAGATTTCTAGAATTTAGCATGACAATAATATTTTATTAATATTTTTCTGTATTGATACATATTGATATATTTCGGATATATTGTTTTAAGTGAAATATATTTTAAAATTATTTTTCCCTGTTTCTTTTTACCTTTAGTAATGGAGCTATTAGAGAATTGGCTTGCATTATATTTCTGTTGGGCATTGCTGGTCAGAGCAACATAGAGTTACGGTGGATGTTCTACTAACTGTCTTTGATAGAAGGATTTCCTACCACATTGGTTTTCTAACCACATTCTTTCCTTGCTTTCTGGCCATTTGCAAGAAAAATTTTAAGAGGCACCCCCTCTGTAAAGTGTTGAGAGCCCCTAGAATTTCCTTTTTTACTTGCTTCAAACCACAAAAGAATGATCAATGTAATCTCTGGATGAGGAGTCAACATTTTACAAGGGCAAAGGGAGGAGGTGTACAGAAATTTCCAATCCCTGGACGGTGTGAAGTGAAAGTGTTTTCAAAGGATCCCACAAGAATGGCATGGGTGGGCATAATGGGTCTGTCTCCTCGTCAAAAGACCCAAGGAATTGAAAGGAAACTCTAACTACAACACCAAAATGCCACAAAACCATAGTTATTAATACCAACTAACTAGCATCTCTATCTGTCACCATCTCATCTTAAAAAACTTGTGAAAATACGTAATCTTGATGAGACTTCAATTAGGTATAAATACCAGCACCAAAAGGAGACAGTACAGTCTTCTGATCATCTGCAGATCAGCAATTAGAAAAGAAAGATCAGCTACCTCCTTGGGACCTGATCAGCTTAACACAGAAGCTACCGATTTCAACTACTTCGGCCTAACTCTCTCCTAAACAATGAAATATACAAGCTATTTCTTAGCTTTACAGCTCTGCGTGCTTTTGGGTTTTTCTGGTTCTTATGGCCAGGGCCCATTTTTTAAAGAAATAGAAAACTTAAAGGAGTATTTTGTAAGTATGATCTTTTAATGAGACTTTCTTGTGATTGAAATGACTTGATGTTTGATGTTGACTTGGAATTCTATGATGGGCTCTCATCTCTAATCTTCAGTCATTTTGAGAAGACTTGGTGTTACTGTGACTGTTGGCTAGATGTGTTTTTTTTTTTTTAACTAAACGATCTAGATATTGCTTTAATGCTCTGCTCAGTTTGCTATAGAGATTTAGGAGGGATTCACGAATGCTCCAAAAGATGGGCATAATATGGGTATATATCATAGTGCTGATATTTCATGATGAGAATCCATTCAACTATGACATTAAGTAGTAAGCATACTGAAAAGCTGAGTCTTAATTTTTCATTTCTCAAGTTACTATAATGGTGACCGTCAAAAGTCAAGATCAGCATTAAAAATGGTCATTTGAAATAATTGATCAATTAAAGAAGATGAGGTCCTTAAATATTTGGCTTAAAAACAAAAACACTTCTAGGTGTTTTTCTCTAAAAAGTCATTTAAAAATTTTACTATCCCATCTAGATTGTCTGTGAATTACTCTTGGACTCAGTCACTTGCTGAGATTTTTTTGTAGGAGCTATAATCTAGTTTATATTTAAAAAAATTTTTTGTCTTGTTTTATGAGTTTCTTAAAAATTTATTTATGGTTAATTAAAATAGCTTTGCATTTTAAATATTTTATCATATGTCCAAATTTAGCTATTATAATTATAGCTGGAGCTATCTTTTAAAGGCGATATAATACGTTGTAGGACGCAGGTAGAGGTTATAGAGGTTATACCATGGGGGGGGCAGTATTTTATAGTGAGATGGTTTTATTGATTTTTTTTTTTTAACTATACCTTTTTCTTACCATAGTAATTTGGGACAGTTGAAGTATCATCAGTCTTGAATGAGTTCACTGTGTTTTTATATTAGTAAATAAGAAAGCAAAAAAATCACATGATAGTGTTTGGCTATTATCCAATTGGATAGCTTTTGTAAATATTTTTTGTTAGAACTAAACAGTGTTGAAAAGAAAATCAGTAAATATTGCCGGCATCCAAGTTCAATAAAATTTGAGGTACATTTTTACAGCAATTTATGGACTAATTTTAAGCCAATTTCTTCTTGTGTTGTTTTATTTTCCAGAATGCAAGTAGCCCAGATGTAGCTGAGGGTGGACCTCTCTTCATAGAAATTTTGAAGAATTGGAAAGAGGTAAGCTGAGCATTTCCATTTGGCTGATTTTCCTGTTGCTTTTTTTCTGATGGATAAATTCACATCAGCCTCTCTTTGTGCTCTTTTCTCCCAAGGAGAGTGACAGAAAAATTATTCAGAGCCAAATTGTCTCCTTCTACTTCAAACTCTTTGAAAACTTCAAAGATAACCAGGTCATTCAGAGGAGTGTGGATATCATCAAGCAAGACATGTTTCAGAAGTTCTTGAATGGCAGCTCTGAGAAACTGGAGGACTTCAAAAAGCTGATTCAAATTCCGGTGAGATGATCTTAATGCTTCCTTTGGTATCATTGCAGAGGCTCTTACAAAGCACTTCATTACCAGAAAATAGAAATTAGATACTGGGTACAGTTGTTAAAGCTCTGAAGTGAACTTGTGGTCAAAATGCCTCTTTGCTAGTTCTCTTTTGCCTTGGATGACTTTGCAGAGTCAGTTATTGGAGGCACTTAAGTCTGTGATTTTGGGAAAATACTGGCATTATGCCTACCTCACAAAGATGGGTGAATGGACAAATCAGTGAGGAGGAAGCAGAGAAGGAATTGAGGTGATGGGGGCAGAATATTGAAAACCAATTCTCCCATTGCCGCTTGTTTGTGTGTTGGAAATTCTCTTGCTTTGAATAGGTTGCATGTCTTAATGGAAAGAGCAGTGGGAGGGAGAGGGAAGATGTGTGCTCCGCCCAGCTTAGCCACCAAAGAAATGTGTGACTTCAGATGAATCACAGGCCTGGCTGGGGCTGTTTCCTCATCTTAAAAGGAGCCTGTTGAGTTCACTATAATTTCTATGGTCTCCTTTGCTCTAAAATTCCACAATGCCATGGATAGAATATGAGAATGAGATAGGAGAAAGGAATAGCCTTTGAGGAGACAAAGGCCCTCCCACTGCCGGACTCTGGTCAACCGCTCAGATTGTATAGCCCAAGGAGAGGTGACTGCGTTTGTTTTTAGAAAGAAAATAGGTAGAATTGTCCTATCAATGAATCTTTAAAGTTCTTAGAAGCTGAAAGATAACTTTGAAGCATAAGGGCAAGTCACATTTCCCAAAATTTCATCTAAGGGACAAAGGCCTCCAGATTTTTGGGGGAGAGAGTTGGCTTTGGTATAAATAGGCTTGGGTGAGAAGAGGAGGGGTCTCATTATGATTTGTGCTTTCAGGATTTGTACCAGCTCTTGCTCTAACCTGGTCTGCCTCTCAGCAGTCTCATTTAAGCTCCCAGGAACTGAAATAAGTGATTGCTCTTCAAGATTTCTCTAGTCTCCCATATGTTAGATAGTATGAGAGTGGCTTGGAAAAATTATATGTAATGTTTTCCATGTTCAGCAGATCTCCATTGGTTGCAGGCTAGAGAATGAAAAAGCACTTGTTCCTAACCCAGTGCTGCCTCTGGCTGCTGTTCAGCCCTAGAGAAGATCCTTAGTTTCTTGGTGATGCTTAGAAAACTGGAAAGTAAAATTTATCACCTGTAAACACAAAGCTGGTAGAAACTTTTCTACTCTGTTGTAACTGGGCCTTGAAAACAATTGGTTGGTCCCATCCTTCTGGAAGCGCCAAGCCTCCTGCTTTACAATGTGCAACCTTGAGTGAGTGTGCAACCATTGTCATCTTTTGCTCAGATGTCAACATATTTAAAGCATGTTTTGCCTTTTTGTTTTGTAACTTAGAATCTCCTAGTCATTCTCAGAAATGTGGCAAGGTGGCTGCAGCGTTTCCAGCTTTAGAAAGAAATGTAGTGGCAGAGCAAAGATGAAAGCAAATGGTCCTCATTTTATGAAGCATGAATTCACTCATATGGTCCTACTGGGAAGAGTGAGAAAATAGTTCAATTTGCTGGAATGGAAGGCAGGGTACAGGGAGATTGCTTTCATTCCTAACTTTAACTATTATATAATACCAGTAATTGATCATTACCATTTAAATAAGATCAGTGTTTATTTTTAATCCCATTATGGGAACGATGAGACTGACCTAATTTGGAGGAAATAAAAAATGACGGTTTTCCTCCTTCTAGGACTTGGTGTTTATAAAGTACTGAACCTATACCAGTGGTTTTCAAACTTGGGTGGTGCCTAAATCACCTGGTGATGTTGGTAACTACACAGTGGCCCAGGCCTAGTCTGATTTCATCCAGCTGGGTGTCGGAGTTCTTCATTAGGTCCTCAGGTTACTCTTTGACACACCCAACATGGAAGCCATTGGCTATAGTAACTCATTTGATACTTTCTAGGTGACAGAAGTGGCAGAGACCCTAAGGGTTATCTAAACAGTCTCCTCCTACTTGGAAAAGAAACAGAGATCTGGAGAGCTTCAGTGACTGGTTTAAAGTCAGATGTGTTGCACACACAGAATTTACACCCACATTTTTCTGTCACTCTACTTCTGGGTTTTTTGCACTATATAATTTTCAGATCTCTGAAGTGGTAAATTTATGATATGTGATGTGCTCCATCCTGTTACAGCCCAACTATCAATTGAATTGTTATAATTTTAGTCTTTATCACTGAAGAAACCAACATTACATATTAAGGTTCATTATTGCTACTGAAAATAATTTATTTTAAAGAATACTTTTATTTTCTTGGGCCTAGACAGCAGAATATCCTAATGACTCATATGCCTGAAATTAATTTTGCTGTATTCTTTCCCAATAGGTGGATGACCTGCAGATCCAGCGCAAAGCCATAAATGAACTCATCAAAGTGATGAATGACCTGTCGCCAAAATCTAACCTCAGAAAGCGGAAGAGAAGTCAGAATCTCTTTCGAGGCCGGAGAGCATCAATGTAATGGTCCTCCTGCCTGCAACATTTGAATTTTTAAATCTAAATCTATTTATTAATATTTAATATTTTACATTATTTATATGGGGAATATATATTTAGACTTATCAAAGTATTTATAATAGTAATTTTATGTCATGAAAATGAATATCTATTAATATATGTGTTATTTATAATTCCTTTATCCTGTGACTATTTCACTCGACCCTTTTTTTCCCCTGACTAACTAGGCAAGTCTATGGGATTTCAAGGTTTTATCTCAGGGGCCAACTAGGCAGCTAACCTAAGCAAGAATCCGTGGGTTGTGCACTTATTTCACTTGATGATGTAATGAATGCTGATAAATGAAATGATGTCATCTAGTCACTACTTATCTGAGACTAGATCTGCATTCTGAGCCACTACTTGGATGGCATGGCAGACAGCACTTGAATGTGTCGGGCAATGTGATTTGTGCCCTGATAAAAACATAGCATCTCATCTTACCTTACGCCTGGTGTTTCAGAATATCACTGACAATTGTGATTATACCCAAATGGAAAGTAATGTGTTTGTTTAGTTTATCAGTATTTAATTTATATGAATAAAGTGCAATTTCATAATTATGTATGTTGTGTCAGACTTTTTCTAAAGTGGGGGCTGGGTTAAATGAAACACAGACTAATAAATTAATAGAAGGAGATGTAAGAGTTGGATTAAAATCTGCTCAAAGTGGTATTTTTCTCCACTGACAATTTGCTGGTTTCCACTGTTCCCTTTGGTAGTTGTTTGAATTATCTTTTCACAGCTGTGAAAAGTAGTCCAAATTGTTTAGCTTGGCACACAAATATTTACTTCTACTTTCTCCCTACTCAATTCCTCAGGGTATCCCTCATCTTGGTATCCCCTATCTCCTCCGGTCACTTTGGGAAACACTGTTACGTATGGAATAGTGAGTGGAAACTCTAGAGTGGGAAGCTTGGATTAGAATCTTAGTCCTGCCATTACAAGTGGTGTGACTTTTATACTCTCTAAGCTTCACTTTCCTCCTCTGATAAAGAAGAATAATAGTGCCTTTCTCATAACATTGTAGGCTTCCCAGGTGTCTTAGTGGTAAAGAATCTGCCTGCCAATGCAGGAGACACAAGAGATGCAGGTTCAATCCCTGGATCAGGAAGATGCTTTGGAGGAGGATATGGCAACCTACTCCAGTGCTCTTGTCTGCGAAATCCCATGGACAGAGGAGCCTGGTAGGCTACATAATATTGTAGTGAGACTTTATCCTTTCACTCAAGATATAATTACTAGAGCACCTACTATGTGCCTGGTGCTGTTCTAGACACTTGAGTTTCATCTGTGAGCAAGACAAACAAGATTCCTTTGGGAATTTTGAATTTAGCAAAGGGGAGATTGATAATAAACAAAATACATAATATGTTAGTAAATTTCATGCTATGTTAGAAGATGATTGGTGCTACAGAAAAAAAGTAAGAAAGAATAGGGGAACTGGGAAAACTATGGGACAGAGCAAATGGGCTAGGGATTTAAACTGAGCAATTATACTTGGCTTCATTAAGGAGACAACATTTGAGGAAGCACTTGTAAGAGCTAAGAGAGGATTTTTGGCAAAGGAAACATTCTTGCAAAGGCTCTAAAGTGGACATTTGCCTTGACTGGTAAAAGAAGTACTAGTAGTCCAGTGTGGTTGGAGCAAAATGAGTCAAGAATAACTCTTAAGTTTTTAGTTGAGCAACTAAAAAAGTGAAGTTGTCTTCAACTGAAATGGGGAAACTAGAGTGAGCAGGTTTAGGGTGGAAAATTAGAAATTCAATTTTGAACGTTAAGTTTAAGGAACCCATTAGATTTTAAAATGGCAATGACGAGTAAACTATTGAATAGATCAGTCTGGAGTTGAGAGAGAACTCTGAACAGTTGATGTAAATTTAGAAGTTGAGGGTATTCAGTTCAGTTCAGCCACTCAGTCGTGTCTGACTCTTTGCGACCCCATGAACGGCAGCACGCCAGACCTCCCTGTCCATCACCAACTCCTGGAGTTTACTCAAACTCATGTCCATTGAGTCAGTGATGCCATCAAACCATCTCATCCTCTGTCATCCCCTTCTCCTCCCGCCCTCAATCTTTCCCAGCATCAGGGTCTTTTCAAAAGAGTCAGCTCTTCGCATCAGGTGGCCGAAGTATTGGAGTTTCAGCTCCAGCATCAGTCCTTCCAATGAACACTCAGGACTGATCTCCTTTAGGATGGACTTGTTGGATCTCCTTGCAGTCCAAGGGACTCTCGAGAGTCTTCTCCAACACCACAGTTCAAAAGCATCAATTCTTCTGCGCTCAGCTTTCTTTATAATCCAACTCTCACATCCATACATGACTACTGGAAAAACCATAGCCTTGGTTAGATGGACCTTTGTTGACAAAGTGATGTCTCTGCTTTTTAATATGCTGTCTAGGTTGGTCATAACTTTCCTTCCAAGGAGTAAGCATCTTTTAATTTCATGACTGCAGTCACCATCTGCAGTGATTTTGGAGCCCAAGAAAATAAAGTCTGCCACTGTTTCCACTGTTTCCCCATCTATTTGCCATGAAGTGATGGGACTGGATGCCATGATCTTAGTTTTCTGAATGTTGAGCTAGCAGGTATTTTAAGACCTAGTACCTGCTGAACTCATGAAGATCATGGGTTTACATAGTGAAGAAAAGGAAAGAAAAGTATTGAATTTTTCAAGGTACACAATTGGCTTTGGGTTGTATAGTGAGGGCAAGATTTTGAGTATCAGGGGGAGAAAGGGTTAGGTATCTGGGGCTTCCTTCTGAACTATTTCATTCAATGCTCCATTTAATTCCATTTAATAGCAATAAAGTTAAATGAAATAATTCATGTAAAAGTATCAGTTTAGTCCTTGACAATAGTCAGAGATTATTGTTTTGACTATTGGATAGTAGTTGAGTAACAGTGGTTGAGATTCCATCTCCATTCCCTGTGGTTCCTCTTTCAGTCTAAGGTTTATTAATAATTTCTGTCAGTATTACCCATAAAACAATCAAATTATTGTACCAGCTACTAAAAAGAATGTCTTTCCTTTTTAGTTTTATGACCTTTTTTTTTTCACTATAATTTTGTGTGTTAGACATTATTAAATAGTTACACTGAATGGATAGTTCACTGAAAGAATTGGGCAAGATTGAGGTTATCTTGACCTGTCTAGAATTCAAGTGGCATCTGAATGCTTATAGGGGAGGAAATTTTTTTTTTTTCTCTACTCTTCTAAAGTCTTGACTGGGATCCCATAACAAAAGACAGATTAACAAAAGGAAAGCATACATGTTTATTTAAATTATATGTGACACAGGGATCTTCGTAAGGAAATAAGGACCGGGAAAAAAAAAAAAACTGTTAAATCTGAGTGTTTTAGTGCTAAATCTGGTGAAGAGTGGAAAATCATGGAAAGATATGGTAGGACAAAGGTGAGCTAAGTGTGGTACATGGGGCAACACTTAGCAGGATCTGCCACTGTTCACATTCCCCTCTGATTTCCTTGTCTTTAAAGATGAGACTGCTCCCTTCCTCGGGTTATATGACCTACTTCAGGAGAAGATCAGAAAGTCTTTTCTGCATATTCCCTTTCTCAGATTCCTTCAGCTTGAAATATTCAATATATCAAGGTGACATGTTTTGGGATATCGTGTCCTGTACCATGTCAGGCTCACAGAAGAAAATACAAAGGCAAGAGTTTCTTATCTTGCTCTCTTTACCTAAACTGAGAACCTGGCAACCCCATGACAGTGCTTCTTTCGGGCAGATGGTGATGAAGGATCAAAGGTGAAAGTGCCATCGTGATCAGAGCTGCAGATGCAAAGCCACATCAGAGAACCATTGACATCCTGGGTATGGCCACCCCCTGGGGATGTGTAATAGGGTGGTGTAAAATAATACTAATGAGTAACCTGTGAACATGTGCTAGGGTTAAGAACTCTTTTTCAGTAGAGCTCAAAGGGTAATAATGGTCTGACTACTGCCTTCTTGAGTCAACTTGCTTATTTGGGGATTTTTGTTTATGGTCTCACACCTGTACACAAATAAACCTTCAAAAGAATATCACAAGAAAGAACTCTTTTTCAGTATTCAATTAAACCTAGATTTTTATTAATGGTAAAAATTTAGGAATGTTATTGACTATTTTCAAGCCTCTTTGCTTTCATCTGTAAGATGGGAACTATAAAGTCATTGTGAGGATTACATTTTTTTTAAATGTAAAATGTTGGAAGAGAGAAAATGCTTTGTCAAGAGTTCAGTTCAGTTCAGTTGCTCAGTCTTGTCCGACTCTTTGCGACCCCATGAATTGCAGCACGCCAGGCCTTGCTGTCCATCACCAACTCCCGGAGTTTACCCAAACTCATGCCCATCGAGTCGGTGATACCATCCAGCCATCTCATCCTCTGTCGCCCCCTTCTCCTCCTGCCCCCAATCCCTCCCAGCATCAGGGTCTTTTCCAATGAGTCAACTCTTCGCATGAACTGGCCAAAGTATTGGAGTTTCACTTTCAGCATAAGTCCTTCCAATGAACACCCAGGACTGATCTCCTTTAGGATGGACTGGTTGGATCTCCTTGCAGTCCAAGGGACTCTCAAGAGTCTTCTCCAACACCACAGTTCAAAAGCATCAATTTTTCAGCACTCAGCTTTCTTCACAGTCCAACTCTCACATCCATACGTGACCACTGTTGTCAAGAGTAGCTATTATTATTAATGCTATTTTTATTGAATAAATCAATGAATTACTGTTATTAGCTTTTTCCACCACAATGAATTCTCTTTAGTTTTTCTTGATCTGAAGAATTGTTTTCCTTCTAGAAGAATAGAAAGAGCAAGAAAAATTGTGGATAGAAATTTGATCATTCTTATAACTAGAAAAATCAATGGCCATGTTGGGATTAAAAACTCCATTTTACTGAGGTTATGGTCCTTCTTGGGTTTCCCTGGTGGCATAATGGTAAAGAATCTGCCTGCCAATGC